GTTTTTTTTTGCCAGGAAATTAATTTAAATGTTAAACGTTTAATTATAGCCAAAACATGTTTAAGTTGGGTGGTCCTCATGATTTATAATATCTAATTTCTTAATGACCACATTTGATTCATTCACCTAAAGCCACCTCAATCATATTTATTAACTGTTTGTTGGGGTATGCTTTGAAATTGACATTAATTAATCCGCTGTTAATTTATCTAGGAAATATTATTATTATTATGTTTTTAATTTCAACATTTCATTCAATTTATGGCTTAATTTTTTTAGTTTAAAAATGTATAATTGAATATTTACAATTTTTCAAATTTTTTTAATCCCTGCTGTCAAAATTTGGTGAATACGGAGGTCGAGAGTAGCGAGCCTTTTCGTACGTATTTCATATCATGTACAAGAAGATGTATAGGTACATTTTGCTGATATAACTTTTTTTTTTTTTTGCCAAATTGTTGATATGACTAATAGTCAGATACTCTCTTAGTACCGTAAGCAGGCATGTTGTTCTTCTGTACCACTTCTGATTCTTAATATGAAATCTTGTTTGATTTTTATTTTAATCCTAATTATAAGATTCTAATTTATTTTATCTCTTATATTTACGTATTTTTTTTAAGGTAATCAATAGTAGTTCTAGCCAATAAATTGATTAGTAAGGATATTTTAGGAAAGATAACATCTATTTATTACAAATAATTAATTTAATTTATTTTTTTTAATTTTCTCAAATTAGTTAATTAACTCTTCTAATTAGGACCAGAGGCAGTATAACAATCAAAATTATAAAAAGTTGTAGATTGTGATTAAAAGATAATATCTCGGGTCCTCAATATAATATAAGAGTTAATTGATTTGAGTAGATTAAAAAATAGTTAAATTAATTATTTATAATAAATAAGTGTTATCTTTCTTAAAATACTCTTGCTAATCATGTGAATTAGCTAAAATGATCAATTGATGAAATATTTAACATGTGCAAGTACTACAAGGACTATCATAAAAATAGATAAATATGAGAAATAAAATGGATTTTGGTCTTATATTTAAAACCAAATTAAATGTTAAATTAGCTTTTATATTAAAAACCAAAATGAGTAGTTAAGTTCTTAATGATTGACTAAATTTGATTCCCCTAAAGCCACCTCAATCGTATTTATCAATTTTTTGGTCAAAATAATCCACTCTTCATTTTCAAGATTCTAGATGTATCATGTTTTTAAGTTTCCATATTTTCATTCAATCCCTGGTTTGATTTGAAATGAAGAAGAGAGGAGCGAAGGGATAAATTCGATTTAGACAATTAAAGAAATAAAGTTAAAAATTTTTAATTATTTTTTTTACTTTTTTATTTTACATCCTTTTTAATTAAAATTTCATAAACCTATTTTTTTTAATTTTTTAAATCAAACTCATTAAATTTTTTCCTCTTTTTTTTTCTCTCCATTTCTGTCATACTAAACAGAGGATAAAAGTGCCTAGTTCAATTCAGTCTTTCTAATTACTATCGTCAATTTGACTAAAAAAATTAACCTTGGAAAGCAAAGTTTTCTGTTTTGATCAAAATAACAATATTAATTCACGCTTATTTTTTTCTTTGGGGCAAAAAATTCATACTTAATTGATCTAACGATCTAAAATATTGACTAATTACTTAATATTATCTCCGATCCTTAATACAAACGTTAGTTGACTAATTTGAATAGATTAAGAAAATTAATTAAATTCGTTATTTATAATAAATAATGTTATTTTTTCTAAAATATCCTTACTAATCAAGTGTAGTAGCTAAAAATATTGTTACTATAAAAACTATCTTAAAAAAAATATATAAATATAAGAGACAAATTAAATTGGAGTATTATATTTAGAATTAAATTAAAATGCAACTAGATTTTATATTAATAAATGAAGATAGTAATTGGTTTGCACTTAGAATAAAGGCATTAGAAGTTGAATTCATTATTCAACGTACTAGCAGCAATTAAGGGTCAGTGGTTTAATTGTGATTGAACAAGGATTAACTCAATTATAATTAAAATATTGAAATTTAAAAAAATATTTATACATGATCCAAAAAGAATAATATTTAAATAAAAAGATATTAGCTTACAAATAAATGAACTATACATATATAAATTATATAGTATAATTTAACAAATATAGCTACTTATGTGCAGATAAAATGTAACCCCAAATTGGACGAGAAAATTAGATTTTAGAGTAAAATACGCTAACTTTTTTTGTATTTTACTCTAACTATATTAGCTTCCTTTTTATTTTAAAAAATATATTTAATTTCAAATTGTTAACTCCGTTAGAAATGTTCTAAAAAGATATTTTTTAATTAAGATTTATCCTTCCTAACACCAAATTCTTAAATTTGCGCTGAAAATTTTTGACAATTTGAATTTTTTTTTTTTTTCCTTATTTTTTATTTTTACAAATAGTTATTTTTTTAGTGTTTTATCATATTGAGATGAAAAATTATTTATTTATTTAATATAGACATAAAACCTTGAATGAAAATTTGATTAGTTCTTTAAATAAATACATAATAGACTAAATTTATAACAGAATTTTTTTTCAAAATTTTAAATTTAAATGATTTCTATAGTCTCTCAAACTTAGATAATTTATATTATATTATGAAAAAAATTTATTTAATATATTTTCTATCCATTTAAAAGAAATTTAAATAAATAAGTTTTATTATGTAGTGAAAATTAAAATTTTAAAATTTTAAAATGTAATCAAAATTAATAAATTTTATTGCATATTAAAATTTTGAAAATACATGTATTAAAAAAAAATTTTTGGTTGTATCAAAAATGAATTTCTTGATAAATATAATGTTTAAATAACCTTTATATCAATGAGGGGTATTTTGGTTAAATAAAAATTTAGAAGTCAAACTTAACAGTTGGATGGATGAAAATGAAATTTTAAATATACAATGGAGGTTTGTATAATATGTATTTTAATTTCAAGTGAGGTTTATATGCATTTTTATAATAGAAAAGTTTCTGTAATTTAGATAAAATAGAGGGATAGTTACGGTATTTTGCTCTAGATTTTAATACTGCTATTAGGCGCTAGACAAGTTTTACGGATTTCCAGTGGGCTCCAGTGCGCGTTTGTAACCTGTAAGCGGCAAGCAAATCCCAAAGCTTATTTTAAATTGTTAGGCTTTAAGTAACTAACTACACAAGTACAGTTTCTTGACATTCCTGTGCGGTGTCATTAGTCGGTAGTCCAAAAAGGAAACCCGCTGATACAAAGAGGGCAAGAACAGGAAAATAAAATAAAACAATAGATTTAAAATAATAAAATCATTTTTGTGCACCATAATTTCTGAGAAAATCCCAAAAAAAAAATAACAGTTGAATTTGAAAATTCTAAATCAGAAATTACTATAAAAATGTGTTATCATTTACTTTTCAAGCATAGTCATTTGTTTTTATAAATGTAATAACCACTACTAATTTGAAATTTTAAAATTTAACAATCATTTTTTTTGGATTTTCTCATGATTCTTTCCTTTGGCAAATAAAGCAACTTAAACTCAAACAAATAAAAAACATGTAATATGAACTTAATTCAACAATAATACATTTTTATTATGTATTATGTTTTAAATCAATAATTAATTGTCCTTTTCTTGGAGGAAAAAAAGAAAAATGATGGATAAATCCCTTGTTAGAAAATTAATTGGCAAATGGTGCCTATGATTACGGGTTACACAAAGAAAAATAAGTTACACATAAGTGAAGTTAAGTTACAGATAGAGAAGATGATTTGCATAGAATATTATTCTAATACAAGAGACTAGTTTGCATGATAACTTGTATAAAGAGAAGATGGACTGTACACAAAGAATATTCATTTACACAAAGAGAAGATGTGACACAAGAAAATATACTTGCACACAATGAAAGATAGATTATACATGAAGGAAGTTAAGTTGCACACTGAGAAAGTTTAATTGCACAAAGTCTCCAGGTACCATTTACTAATTAAATTTTCAATAAGGAATTTATCCCTAATTTTTTTTAAAAAAAAAAGCTAGTGAAACGAGGCCCTCTGTAACGCGACATAAAACTCCTTTTTAAAATTTCATAAACCTAAATTCAAACTAAACTAAATGAGAAATATGATAAATGAAACGAAATCGACTAAAGTATTGTACTATAAAGAAGAATTGAATTAGATGAATTATATCAATATTTGAACTTCTTGTATATATAAAATTGTATATATAAACCAAAAAAAGGAGGTGGTATCCGTGGCTACTGATGTTTTACCAGTTTGTCTGTCCCCAATAATTAATTCTCAGTGACCACGCCCTATAGGGATCATCGAATCAATAGCAATAAGTCTTGTTTGAAGAGGCTCATATACGGAACGTCTCGATGTAATACTGGGAGCGGGATATTCAATTAACCAAGATTCAGAAGCTGAAATTTCTTTTCAACCGCCAATAGGTTTAGCCAGGGCACTCCTATTCACAATGCAAGTGACTTTTGAAAGGATTTTTTATCCACAACACAAGTCATTTATAAAATCATTAATATTTGTCTACTAATTTTGTCTTTATAATTAATATTTAAACGTGACTCTTTATACTTTCTCTCTTGTGCAAAATCTCATTTAATATGAGTATAGTTAAAAAATTATAATTTAAAATAGATTTAATGAGTTATTTGTGATTTCTTATTTTCAAAATTAATTTGAAGTCACTTAGATTATTATTTACAATCGAGAATGGAGTGACAATAGTTAAGCCAAAGAAAAAAAATTAATCGCAACACAAGGACAGTGACGCCGTTTAATGAAGCCGTCAAGTCAACAGAAGCAACGGCCATCTTCTGTGCAAGACCGGTAACGGAGGACTGGACGTTACCTTCCATGAGCAAGAATCACCTGAAGTCAAGAGCAGTCAAAGACACAGATACCCTCCCACTCGTTGCTTTAAAGCAATCTCTCTCTCTCTCTCTCAAATCTGTGCCGCTTCGCGAAATCCCAAGCACGTTTGCGTTTGTTTCAGACACTACAAAACGCGACCTTTAACTGTTCCTTACTTTACTCTCTGCCGGAGGACCATCCATGGCTGACCGTGAGAGCTCCGGAGCTCTCATAGACGGTAACTCTGAACTGCCCGAAGAAAACGAATCAGCAGAAGAAGAAGAAAAAGAAGGAAAGAGAGAGGAACTAAATCGAGTCTCTGAAGCACAGCCTGGCGAGTCTCAGCAAGGCGACTTGCAGAATTCTGAACTTTCCCGGCAAGCAGAGCCACCGGGGCCTGATTCGGAAACCCTAGCTGTGCCCACTTCGCTTGAGCTGGAAGAAAAAGATCAGAATGCCGGTAAGCTTGACTGTTGGTAATTGTCCTTTTTGCCGAAATGAGAAATTCTTTTGCTTTAGTTTTTTTCTTCATTTCTAACGGCTTTTTGAGAAGGTAATGAGTTGCGTCGTTTGCCCTGCAGATACCTCTACTACGCAGGAGGCTGTGAAAGGCCAAAATAAGGTCAGAACATTTATACTTGATGTATTTTGAGTCATGAGTATTGTATCTAGTTTGGTGTTATCGTTTAGATTGTGAGTTTCGTGTCTTTGAGCTAGAATTTTTGAATTCTTCGTGTCCAGAAGTGAGTTCATAGTGTAGTGCCCGGCTGGAGGTGGAAAAGAAAAGCTCCATCTTAAGAGTTCGTTAGCAAGATTTCTGCGTGAGCGCAAATGTTAGAAGCAACGAATGTTGTGTGATAGTTACATGTTTGCTTTGTTCGCCCCCTTGAATTCTTTAACAGAAAGAGATTCCAGAAGTCGTACCAGGAGGAACTAAGTAATTGACGAATTCTGCTTGGCTTATGGCTTGTGTATTTGTTCACTGAGCTTTGGTATATTTCTCTGTTTTATACACACAAGCGTTTGTGGGCATCTACAGTTTAGAACTCGCGAATTGCGTATAAGTTTTTATCTATCAATATAAAGAGTGGGTGTTCACCTTTTCGTTAACTTTATTTTATTTTCCCTTTTCTTAGGTTGACGAGATTGAAGCTGTAAATGCGTAGTTTGAGAACAAACCAGATAAACTAGATTAGAGCAATTGAATGATCACTTTAAGTTCTACCACTGGTTTAGGACTTGGAAAACCTGTCTTCTTGAAGAATCATTGTTGGCTCTTTCATGAATTACCTTTTCTTTGTTTTGCTTGATGTCATTTTGGTCCCTTATTTATTTGTTTAAATTTAGTTTCTCTGTGCGTGTGTCTTGCAATTTGGTCACTTAACTCTCAATCTGTTTCAGATTCATCCCTTAATTTTTATTGTTTGAAAATGGCCCCTTAATCTTTTCCCTCTCAATGTTTCTAAATCAACCCTCATCTCTTAACTTTCTTTCGTGTTCAAATCATAAAGGACAAAATTGAAAGTTAAGGGACCAAAAGTGATGGCGAACCCTTTGTCTGTTCAAAATGTAAGTAGATGCTGAGAAACTTACCATAAGCTTGAAAGTTTGTTCAAATCACCTCTCTAGGAAGGCTGATCTGCAGACCCTAAAATGATGTTATAAAAAGCTCTAGAGAAGCAGACAGACGCCAATTGAAAGGCTTTTGTCGCATATTACATGAAAGTGAGTCTATTGTGCTTGTTCTTCTTATAAGAGATGGTCCATGTCTCTGGTGCTTACTTGGAGCTGTCTTTCTGAATATGAAGAACTACTTATTTTATTTAATTATGTGGTAGAAGTTTAGACCTGAATCTTTGTGACTTCTTAACAACGTTGTTGAGGAGTCTAAGAACACTTCCCCTGTAATTTGGGCTTGTGGTTAGCATTGCATGATACATTTCAATTCTGTCAGCTTATGTACTGATAAAGTGTCTACCCGAGGTTCATTCAATAGTCAGAAATCTGTTGTCTCGTAATAATCAATTTGCTTAATTTGGGTACGTCTTAAGTCGGTCAACATGCGTTATGACCTCAACTCTATTATCTTATGCACTGATAAAGTGTCTATCCGAGCTTCATTTAGTAGTCAGAAATCTTTCGTCTCTTAAGAATCAATATGCCTAATTTGGGTGCGTCTGAAGTTAGTAAACATATATTTATGATGGGTCCAGGCTTATGCTTTGGTTTCTGCATTGGTTTACGGACAATACCAGCATTAGAACTCTGCATTTTCTTTGCAGCCCACTTATTTCTTAAGTTATAAAAGTAGGCCTTTTCATGAGTTAACCTTTCTCAGGAGCCAGTTGGACCTTCTGACAAGGAACTTACTGAAAGAAAATCAGTCCAGACAACTCAAACACAGATAGAAAATCAACCTCAGGTGTCGGTGTGTTCAAGTGCATTGTCTGAACTGTCACCAACATCCGTAACACAATCTTTATCATCTGCTCCTAGTCCAGCTTTACCAGAACAAAGACAATCTTCTCCAAATGTTAATAATGCAAATATGCTGGAAGTATACAAGAAAAAGCCTTCTCGCCGCAATACCTTGTCTCCTGTTTCTGTTGTGAGGGCATCCTCATCTGATGGATACAATTGGCGGAAGTATGGCCAGAAGCAAGTTAAAAGTCCTACAGGTTCTCGAAGCTATTACAGGTGTACTCATTCAGAATGTTGTGCTAAGAAGATTGAGTGCTGTGACCATTCAGGCCATGTTTTAGAGGTTGTATATAAAAGTCAACACAGCCATGATCCACCACGGAAGACTAACCCCAGTAGAGAAAGTAAGTTTGCATCATCCAAACAGCCTAATGTGGAGAACATTGTTCTAGAGAAGCCCATCAGAGTGCTGAATGATCCAAATCCGTGCCCTTCTTCAAAGGAACCTCCACAAGAAGCACCATGCAGTGCTGATAGGAAAAGACTAAACTCATGTGATCAAAGTGATAATGGTAAAGTTGTCTTGAAGGATGAGCATGTTATTGAGACAGAGCCCAAAAAAAGGCAAGTTGATGTATGGATTTACTTTCTCTGAAGACAAAAAAATAGTGCATGATATATTTTTCATTTCATTTTGGAAGGATTTAGTAGTAAGTGGCCTAATTTCTCTCTTCAAATTTGATAATCAGAGTGAAGAAAGGTGACGGTACATGCCTGGATTCTCCAGTAAAACCTGGAAAGAAACAGAAGTTTGTCGTACATGCAGCAGGAGATGTGGGGATATCGGGTGATGGATACCGATGGCGCAAGTATGGACAGAAAATGGTGAAGGGGAACCCTCATCCTAGGTGCATGCCTAAAACTTTCTGGCTTTCTACACGCACATGATTTGATTATCAGCTACTAGGTAGAATAATATGTTTAAGTTGAATCAGTACTTATCATCAATTAAGAGAGACCCATTTCTCTGATTTTCTGTTTCCAAGCTTTGTTGCTGCTTCCATTAAGGGGAATATAAGAAAAAAGCAATATACAGTTAAATCCCAAGCTGATGGCGCATATGAAGCTTATTTTTATCATATTTCTTTCAGCAGAAAAGTAAATATAAATGGTAGAGAGATTGGTAAGTAATTAGATGATAATAGATGTTGAAATGGCAATGTCATTAGTTCTCCATGAAGACCCTAAGTCTGACAGCACTAAAATGGGGTTGGAAATATGAATAGCAGCGGAAATTGAGTTTTCTGCATAAAAAAGTCTATGGTAGCCATATTTGCCATGGTTTCGCGATGCAGTGATTAAATCCATTATATTCTTCAACATAAAGAATTTAAGTGATTGTTTTCTTTCTTTTTTTTTTTTTTTGGGGGGGGGGTGTTCTGTTGAAGAACAATTTGGACTTCGTGTTGATCCCATTCTTCTGTGCTTGTTGAGGTGGTGGCATTGATGCCAAAGAAATATTCATACACTAGGAACCTACCATCTTGGTGCCTGTACTATAATGAACTTGGTGCACTCAATTTTCCATGTTAGGGATGGTGCAATTGAGAGGTCTACAAGGAGATTCAGCTAAAGAGGAAAAAAAGAGAGAAATGTTGATGCCTCGCCAAAATGAAAACTCCTAGTTCCACTGAAGTCAAGGTTGGAATGGTGCACAATAGAGGGAGAGGTATTGCGATTACAATTTTCAAGTAAAGTGAGAGTGACAGATGGTGAGAGAGATTACAGAGAGGACTGAATGAGGTAGATATTGTCTGAGATCAAGATTGAGTGCTTGACACGTGAGAGCGAAGAGAAAAGTCTGGAGAAAATGGTTTTAGAAAGAAGCAATGTGGTTGGCCAAAAAAAGATGAAGAAGAAATGTGAAATTAATCCCTGTAGGGAGAAACGATATTTCTAAGAGATCAAGAACTATGCGAGTTCCCTCTAGTAATAATAATTAGTATTGCAATCAATTTAAATCTATTTCAGCTGTTAGATGAAAGTTTGCTTTTCTGTGGATGTCAGATGAAACTTCAATCTTCTAGGCATAATGTAGAAGCTTGAAATCAGAGCATGGCTGACTGGTTTCAAAAATACTTATAGCACCTAACCCTTCACTAATACATAGCCAAATATCTTTTGAAAAACCGAGTAATACTAGACAGTCTCTAACAAATGAAATCTTTACATAAGTTGAATTTTTAGAACAAAAACGCAAACAGATATACGGTGGAATCAATTTTCAAAATTTCTTACTTGTGCAGCTGCTCACAACCTTCCAATCACTGTTGAGTGTTGGTTACATTATTAGACACTGGATCAGATTTATCACTAGGTCCTCCAATGTTGATGTAGAATTCTTCTATTTTCCATTCCGTATGTGAAAGATGCATCTGCTTCTCTTTTGATAGAACTATATGTTACTCGATACTATTAACTAATGCTGATTTGAGCATTGCGGGCCGAAATAGGAGATAGCTTTTCCATTAATAAGATTTGAATCCTTGCCCTTGCTGAAGGGATATTGAGTACCGGTACTTCTTTTTTTTTTTTTTTTTCACTCCCCACTGTTATTGTAAAATTGGAAAACATGCCTTCAACCACTTTAAATGAACATAGAAGTAAGCCAAAGCATCAACCAAATAGTGATTATATTTTTCTTCTATGAAAATTTTTGTGAACAAAAACTTCTATATGGAGCATGCTTTAAATAAGTTTACTCAAAATAGGCATCGCCCATTGGTTGAGAAATGGGAAACACTAGCATCTTGTTGGATCAAATTGAAGTCAAATGGTTTGGTCTTTGGCCAAGAGAAGGAGTGAGATGCGGGGACCTCTAGAGAGACCACAAAGGGAAATGGTTGACCTTGACTTGTGCTTTATTTTATCATCTATATGTGGTTGCCACAGTGTTTTAAGGTCTGTGTAGAGAAATCAATTTCGAATAAACTGAGTGCTTTATTTTATTTCTCGCCTGCCAGGAATGTAATAAGAAAACAGGTGTCTTTAAACTCACCTTAGCTATTTAATATGTTTCAGTATAAAGTTCTATGGTTGTAACTGTTTTAATTTTAAAACCGGCTTTAGCTTTGCTTGAAATATCAAACATGCACCTGTCTTGATGCATTTTATTGTATCTCTCGTGGTGCAACAACCAACAAATCATGATAGAAGCATTTTAGGCAGCTTCTGGAATACTAATTCTATCTTTCGGTGTGCTTAGATTGTACTTGTTCTTCATATTTATGGGTTTTGAAGGCATGCATCCTATAAGAGGAATAATAGGGAGATGGAACATCTAGTGTACAATTACGTTGCATATATATAATGTGCCATTGTTTCCTTCCCTTCTTTTTAGTGGCCTATAATTGTCTTCCATTTCTTCTGATGAACAGTTTGAATTTTCAGAAACTACTACAGATGCACTTCAGCAGGATGTCCTGTGCGTAAGCACATTGAGACTGCTGTCGATAACTCTAATGCTGTAATCATTACATACAAGGGAGTTCATGACCATGACATGCCGGTGCCTAAGAAACGGCATGGCCCACTAAGTGCTCCTCTTGTGGCTGCAGCAGCACCTGTTTCAATGAACAATTCACAGCAATTCAAGAAAACAGACAAACTGCAGAAGCAAAAATCTTCCACGCAGTGGTCGGTGGACACCGAAGGCGAATTAACCGGGGAAGCCTTGGAACTCGGGGGTGAGAAAGCAATGGAATCGGCTCGAACTCTCTTGAGCATTGGTTTTGAAATAAAGCCTTGCTAAAAGATACTTTCAGAAAATCCTGCAGTTGTATCTGTATAAATTAATTGGCAGGTATTGTGTATTTTTCCCGCTTACCAATTTTCACCCCTTTGTAGTTTTTCTTTCCACGTAGTGTTTCGGTGGGAACAATTTGTTAATATTTGGTCGTACAACCTTTCAACTTGGCTTAATGAGTTTGGTAGTGTTGGAATGAATATAGGGTTGATTGGCACCATTGTTCCCATTGAAGGTCAGAATAGTAGAATTAACGACTTCCACACAAATGCTTCGAAATATAGTTGATGGCAGGTTGCATCTGTCAGCATTTAACATAAAGTCAAACTAGAGTTAACAATCGATGTTAATGTCTGTTAATCTGATGTTAAAGTCTGTTGACATTTGAAGGACATTACTCTAATGAACAGCTTATGATGACCATTATTCTGTGCAAAATGGTTTTTGATTATTTTTATTTTTAGTTAATACCACGAGGCAAAAAATTTTTAGTTGCATTTAGTGTTTTTTCCCCGAAGGAATGTGATAATTTCGTGTGGACTTTTGGAACGAGTCTTAACAAGACTGTTTCTCAAGCATTCCATCATGGAAAATGACCCTTTTGGGAAGAAATATTGACAATTATGAACCGTTTTCAACTAAAATTTCATATTGTTAATTGAGGGGTAATTAATATCCTCAACTATTGTTATATTGCAAGATTTCGAAGGGTCATTTTTCCTTGGATTATTAGACAATGCGTCAACATAGCCTCTTTTCAAATCATAATAACGGGCGCCCAATGGGGATATTTCTTCTGCGGGGTGCTTGGCACATCCCATAAGTATTTTTAAAAATACTTTCACAAAATCAAGATAATTTTTATCACGTATTTACTTTGTATATCATAAAATCATTTTTAAAATTATGATTTTGATTCTGTCTAAACAACCCTACAATAGAGACTCTCACACCTGCATATGGATTTCCATGAATTATATCGTCAATGCAATACACATACACCAAGAGATATAATTGTATTTCTTATAATTGAAATTTATATTTAGAGAAAATCACCAAAAAAGACATTGGAATAGAAAAATGGCAAACAGAGATCCGTTACAATATTAGTAGTATTGGTCTTGACAATAATTAACAAGTAAATGATAGCAATTTTTGAGAACAAGTTGTTGTATGTAATTTTTTAATTTTTAAGATTTTTTTTTTACGATTTTTTCTGTTTATTCAATTTTTTTTTTTGGGGAAGCTTACAATAAAACCAGACATAAGACTTCTGTCGCCGTATCCTTAAGACATCATTTATGAAGACTTCATTTTTATTTTTTACCTGCATCTTTATTTTTTGTCATTAAAAGAACTTGGACTCTTGCATATGATAATATTTCTTACCTCCTTTCTATTATCTAAGAGCTTAGATAACACTAGAATATGTACATTTCATTTAGATGATTCTACCCGTAGCAGAGTTATGACGATAAATACCTATTTTACTCATGTAAAGCTTGATGTCAAATTATTTATTATCATGGAAGAATACAATTTTAGCATATGGGATAGGGTTCATAAAATAAAAGTTTAACTCCAACCTGAAGTCAAATCAAGTAAAGGCAATTGCAATCACCCAATGCATGTGGTAAGTGGGAATAAGAGGCATTAGTATTGACCAAGCACCATAATTATTTGTCAGGCGCCTTATAATTTACTAACAACAACACGGGAGATTGTAAGTTCAATTCCACTTATAACATTAAGCTATTATCGCTTGTTTTTCTACTTAAAAGGCATTTAATTGCCTGTGTGGTTTACAATACAATAAACAACCAGAATCTTCATAAAAGGTTATATTTTAGTACTCTTTTTTCTTATATAAGTTTTTTTTCCCTCACCAAAGAAAATATATTTTCATTAATATAGAAACAAAGAAACAAGAAAAAAAAAAAGCCCAATAAGGGGTCCAACAAAAGGGCCGAAAAACTAAAAGCCCATAAACAGCACAAACCCTAACCCTAACAACAAAACAAACCAAAAGGAGTAGCCATTGTCAAGTTCACTTAAGAGTCCCACCGTCTTGTTGTTGGAATCTAGGGGCACGAAAACTTCATCATTGGCATTGATGCTAAAGCAGAGGGTGGTGGTTTGGAAAACCCATCCCGAAGAACCCATCCTTCTTGTAGGCCAGAGAACAAGCAAAGATGGTTGTGAAGCAAACACGGAAAAACCCATAGAAACTAGAACATTGATAGCCACTAGCAACAATGAACGGCATTAGAGGAGGAAGAGAAGTCACCTTTGACAACCCACTGGTTACCACCGCTTGATGAAACTCATACCTTTCATCAACATCTTGGATTTGCCACTACCAAACAACACCAAGGACTGTCATAGAGTATTTGGCAACTGAAGCAAAGACGATCGTCGACTAAAACCCTCCCCCCCAGAATGCAAATCCAAGCCATCAAGTCTAGGTTAGAACTATTACCTTTCATCCTAACATCAAAAAAGGGGATGCCACAAGCAAAAACCACATATTTGATAATAGCCGAAGAAACAAAACATACCGCCACTAAAACCCTATCAACACACAATGACATCCAAGAGATGGACGTCCCCTTTCCCGATGAAGAACATCGAGGAAGGAGATGTCATAATGGCCGCTCGCCCAAAAACGAGGAAAGGGATGCTCTCACCGCTCAAGAGGTTTCTGGAGAGGGGAGAGAGAGAAGCTCGCCCCTTATAATATTAAAGTAAAACTTCAACTAAATAGGGAGGAGTATAATCTATAACCCTAAAAGACAAGTAGATAAATTTATTGAAATTTGGGGAAATTGACCAAATGAATGAAATGGTGGAAATATTTGGTTAGAAAGACCAAATGATGAAGGCCCTTGAAGGTTCAGCGATGATATGCAATCCGGTTTTAAAAGAGCTACGTGAACATGTGAGTTTCATGAAAATATAAAGTGACATGCAAGAATTTGTAATGCACCTTTAAAAATTGATTACCCCCACTAAGTATTTCATTTTTTTGGTCCTTCTGCCCAGTTTTTTCCTGCAATTTTTATTCATCGTTTTTATATTTAAATTTTATTAAAATATGTGAAAAAATATTTTTTAGAAAATAAAAAAGCCGTATGAAATCCGATGATTGAATTTTTTTTATTTTCAATATCTCTTACCAATTTTTTTTAATCAAAAGTGAAAGTCAATAGAAATGCCAAAAGACCCTAGTTTCCCTTCACAATCTCCCCCTCACCCATAGAAGGTGGTTGGTCTAGGATACAAAACGTGCTCCTTATGGAATGCGAAAGTTTAGCTAACTGATCACTAATAAGAATTTGTTTCCTAGTGATATGTACCGAAATAACTGCCCACTCCCTATAGAATAAAAGCCTAGCATCGTCAACTACGTCTTTAAACATGTAATTCTCATCACAGTTTCTATAAAACAAAGATCTGGCTTCTACACAATCAGTATAAATCACAATCTTCTTATAGCCTCTGCTCTAACAAAGTTGCAGCCCATGAATCATGCCAAGAAGCTCTACAACAGCTGGTGGTACAGATATAATCTTACAGCTAAATCCCCCAATCCACTATCCTTGACTGTTCCAAGCACCACCACCACAACCACTTCTTCCATCTTGCAAGATTGATCCATCCAATTCCAATTTGATAAAGTCATCTTGGAAATGGTTGTTACAATCTTTTACATAGTGAGTGGTAGAGTAGAACTTACCAATTTTATATCACATATGAATGATTATTATAATACTAATTCCGGTTCTTAATATAAGACCTTATTTGATTTTTATTTTAGTCATAAATATAAGATCCCAATCCACTTTGTCTCTAATATTTATGTATTTTATTCCAAGGTAATCTTTTTAATAATGGTAGTTTTAGCTAACATACTTGATTAGCAAATATATTTTAAGAAATACAACACCTATTTATTACAAATAACTAACTTAACTTATTTTTCTAATATCCTCAAATTAGTCAACTAGCTCTTATAATTAGGACCAGAGGTAGTATTTAAAAAAATTGATGATTAAAAATATACGTTAAAAATATGATACTCCTCTAGTCCTTAATATAGGACCCAATTGTTGAGTTGGTTTTGGTCCTAAATATAAAACCCATTTATCATATTTATCAATTTTCTCTAAATTACCCCTATGGATACTCTCTCAACCATAATTAAGTAGAAGAGGAAGAGGGAGTATTAAGAAAGATGATTATGGTATTTTAAGAAAAACGTGTCACATTTCTTATAATTAACTAACTTACCTAACTTCCTTAATCTAATTAAATTAATTAAATGAGTCTTATATTAAAGACCGGAAGAGTATCTTAAAGTGAAATCAGATTTTTTTAAAAAAAAATTAAAAGGCTTTGTAATTTAACCTAGTGGCATTGATGCCTCCCTCCAAGTAGGACGTTGCCACTTTAATTTTGTTTGCAATTCCAGGTGGTCAGTGTCCTTTCATTAACAGAAGATTTTTTTTAAAAAAAAAAATTCATTCAGTTTTGTAATATATAAATTTCATAACGATGAATTGCTTATATTCCACCAAAGATTTAAAGGAGCATAATTGGAAAAAAGTGGAAGAAAACAACGCAAAAAACGACAAGGAAAGTACCGGACGTAGCCGGTAAAATTGCAGTGCAAGAACCGGATTTCCGGGTAAAGCTTAATCTTGTCACTGTCCCACCTCCAAGTCCCGACCTTTCCTTGCTTCTTGATTCTCTCTCTCCGTCTCCTCCACTGTTTGCCAATTAAACTTAGTTTATTACATCAAATCCACTTCGAAAATCAAGTATTTAAGTTGGAACATCAAAGATCAAACCCATAGCAGTTCACAATACCAGTCAATTGTAGGAAGACAACGTTTTCCTTGCATTTTCTGGGAAACTTTCTCTGCTAATTTCTGGGGAGAAAAAGCTTGCTGGCTCCGAAGGAATGTGTCAGCTTTTTCTCCATGTGGGGCGACTGATAAAAAAGAAATAATACGCGGCACAGTTCGAACACCCGTATTTTCTTTCTTTTTGAGGTTGCAGAGTGCTCTCGTTTTCCGCAATGCAGTATGGAATCTCAGAGTTTCGAGGCTCTCGGAAGCTCATTTTGAAAGTTATCGGGAATATAGATGGAATGCTGCGCTTTTTTAGCCCATTTAAACCCTAACTTTGGTCAAAAAGGTGAACCCATTTTGGCTTCGATCATGCTATAGTCCTGTACCCTATTGGCTTCGACCTTCGAGTTTTCCATGTTTGGGCTGTGTGAAAATTTGGGTATGAGAAGAACGAGGTCCGGGGGCTTTATTGTCTGTTAATTTACAGGTTCTGGGTGGCTGTGAGCGTGTCTTTGAGTGATTTGAGAACTTTGACTGATTCCCACGTAGCTGAGATTACAGTCAGCGTTTTGGAGGTGAGAATCTAAGATCTGTGTTTGGAGTGTTCGAGAGTTCAACTCCTGTAAAAATGAGGGTTTCATTGAATTTCATAGGCTGCTGATAAATATTAGGGCTTAAAAGCCCACTGGTGGTGGTTGGTTAGATTGGAATATTTTGGTGATTGTTTAGTGAGTTCCAAGACCCAGATCAATGTCTGGAGCTCCAAGATTGAGGTCTATGAATGTTGGTGATTCAGAAACAAGGCCTGTGCTTGGACCTGCTGGGAACAAATCTGGATCATATAGTTTGAGGAAGCCAACTTCAAAGCCACTGAGGAATGCTGATAAATTGCGGGAGGAGATTGTATCAGCCAAAGAGAAGAAGTCTCGTCAATTTTCTACCACTGTCACTTCCTCTCAGTCGCATCCTTCAAGTGTTGCTTCAGTACTCCGCCGGCATGAGCAGTTACTGCATTGCAATTTGTCCTTGAACGCCTCGTGTTCATCTGACGCCTCCACAGATTCATTTCATAGTCGAGCATCTACTGGCAGATTAGTTCGGTCATATAGTCTAGGAAGTAGAAGGAAGCCGAATGTGACAAAGCCAAGAAATGTTGCTTCTGACTGTCTTTTAGAATCTCCTCCTCCTCCTGATGGTTCACAGTCCAAGAAGAGGTGTGCCTGGGTGACTCCAAATACTGGTTTGTTCTTCTCTTTAACTATTCCTGAATTCATGAGACATTTATTACTGAATACTGATTTTGGAACTGACATGGGCTATAATTGATATTATCTAAAAAGGACTTGGTGGACATATCTGTGATTCTGTATGTGGCTCCATAGATTGAAGTTACAATCAGGAATATCTGTAGTTGATTTCAAATTCATCTAGAGCTCATATTGCTATTTTACGATCATTTTTAGAGTTGAAGATATGTTCCGCTTGCTGAAAGTTGATATTGTAGATTAAACAATTTGGATTCATTTGATTGATAACGGTGATTGTGTTCTTTTCCCTGTAAGTGGTCAAATGGACTTCAGTTTTCTGATGCTTGGTTGCTTCTATAAAATATTCGAGTCCCTATTAATATTTACTTTTCTTCCCCATGGATTTCATTTTGATATTTTGAAGAGATGAAATGGAATATATCGTTATGAGTTATTAGTAAAGAAATGGCATGAACCTGAAGTATTGCTGGCTGTAGAGCTCTGAGTGGGCTTCATAGCAAGATGCCAGGCTTGACCTTTCCCAGAAAGTCTTCATAAGATTTATATTGAATTTGATTAGCATTTTTCTCAGATTTGCTTTCTGACTAATTTCAACTGTTGACAATAGAGCCGTGGTATGCTACTTTTCACGATGAAGAATGGGGAGTTCCAGTTCATGATGACAAGTATGTGATGCAGAATTTAATTGTCAAGTCTTTTTAGGGAAAAAGAATATTCTTCCTTAGATAGATGTTAATCTTGACACTTGATTCATGTAGGAAATTATTTGAGCTTCTTGTATTTTCAAGTGCTCTGGGAGAACTCAGTTGGCCAACCATTCTTAGCAAAAGGCATATTTTTAGGTACTACTTCACTAGGAGTCCGATATTGCCTTTTCTTTTCCTTTCAAATCTAAAACTTACTTAAAAGCCTCAAATGTGAACTGGCTGCTGGAAAAACCATTGTCCTCATCCATAGCCTCTTTCCTCATGATTTTGTTTGCAGTATTTTTATTCAAGGTTATTTGCAGGGAAGTTTTCACAGACTTTGACCCGGTTGCTGTCTCAAACATGAATGAGAAGAAAATCGTGGCACCAGGAACCGCGGCAAGCTCTCTACTTTCAGAACTTAAACTGCGTGCTATAATTGAGAATGCACGTCAAATAACAAAGGTAGATTATCATTTTCCCTTGACCTGCTCAACGTTAGCAAAATCAATACACTTGTGGTTGGTTCATAAGTTCTCTACTTAACTCTTGGACCATTACAAGCCAAGAGAATCATCGATCACAAGCTTGATTGTATTCTAATAATGTTACACTAATTACAAACGAAGCCAACTAGTTTGTGTCATGCAAGTTTGATGGCATTTTCTGCACTGCTGCATATATTTTCAACACTGTGCTTGAGTTTGATGTGGGCGTTGTCTTTTTGCGTCATCATTGTGACAGATAACTATTGTGTCTTGAATTCTCTGCGCAATCAATTGAATGACCTAGAATTGTTGTTTTGTGATCATTTGGTTTGCTAGATTCAGTACTAAAGTTAATGGGATGGTGGTGGTCCTGTTCCTTATGGCATGATCTTCTGTGCAGCCTGATCTCTTAGGAATCCCGTTTATGCCATAGCAGTTATAACTAATAACTTGGATTCTTTAACCTGCCATGTTGCTTAGCTGGTTCGTCTTAAGTTAAACCAAAAACATGTAGGCATATCAGAAGTGGACCTCACTAAATGCGCTTAAATATTCATTAATGAGTGATTTAGTCTTCCATTTATGTATAGCTCGGATCTACAACAACAACAACAAAGTCTTATCCTCCTAGGCGGGGTCGGCTACATGGATCGCACGACGCCATTGAGCCCTGTCCAAAGCCAAATCTTTGGATAGATTGTTAATTAAAAGATCTCTCATAGCTCGGATCTACCTACCAAAGAATTTCCCCACCAAAATTCCCATTTGTACCGAACTGCATTAATTGCAGATGGCATCTTTTGTGGATATGATGATAATCATCACAACTAACATTCTGCAGGTTTTTAACTGATGTGCCAGGTAATGGATGAATTTGGATCGTTTGAGAAGTATATTTGGAGCTTTGTGAACCACAAGCCCATAGTGAGCAGATTCAGGTACCCTAGACAGGTTCCTGTGAAAACCCCAAAAGCAGATTTTATCAGCAAAGACATGGTGAGGCGGGGATTCCGCAGTGTGGGCCCGACGGTCGTGTACTCCTTCATGCAGGCTGCTGGGTTAACAAATGACCATCTCATCAGCTGCTTTAGATTCCAGGACTGTGTTATAGCAGCAGCAGCAGCAGAAGGGAAAGAAGAGAATGGCATCATCAATGGCACTAGTAGTACTAATAATAATATTACTGAGCAAAAGGAGACTAACAAGGGGGAGATAGAATCTGATCTGTCCATTGCCATTGATGATTTGCGCTTCACTTCAGAATAATGGCTGCTTATTGATTGTGAGGATGATGATCTATTGGCAGCTCAGCTTATTAACTGATATTAACTGGGTCAGTCCTTATGGCGGTGGGGAATTTGTGTATAAATTTCATGGGGTCCCTCCCTTTAACCTGATGGATTCTTGTATTTTTGCAGAATTGTAGATTGTAGATTATCATTATTATTATTATTACTATTATTGTTATCACGAATGAATTGAATCAAGCTGGTGCCACTGCCGTTGTAGAAAAAGCCTTGTCACATTAATGTACAATTTTTTGTACAGTTGGAATGATCAGTGATAAGAATATTGGTTTAATCTCACTTTCAATCGTTCAAGAAAGTAATTTTCTTTTGATCTATTGTTTCTGTATTCTTCATGGGCTTTTCCTATATAACGAAAAGTATAGTATTACTCCTCCGATCCTTAATATATGACTCAATTATTGAGTTAGTTTTATTCTAAATATAAGATTCATTTATCATATTTATCAATTTTTTTTAGATTATCCTCATGGATGCTTTCTTAACTATAATCAGGTAAAAGAGAGAGATGAGGTATTAAGAAAGATGATCATAATGTTTTAGAGAAAACGTGTTACATCTTTTATAATTAATTAACTAACCTAACTTTCCTAATCTAATCAAATTAGTTAAATAGGTCTTATATTAAGGATTGGAGGAGTACTTTATTTGTATGATCCTTTTTCACAAGGGAAAAAAATTGAAAGTTAAGGCCTAAAAATCGTTAGCATGCATTATTAAGAGTAAAAGGTTTTATATAGCACAGTTTCTTTGAAGACTACAGAAATAAACCAGTATTATTATTAGTGTTTCAAAAGTAATGATGGGATTTTTTTTTTTCCAAAAAAAGTGTTGTAATGATATCTTTGTCCCAACATAATTTTGTAAGATTAAAAATAGAAAATTATACAACTTTTGAAAATAGAAATAATAACTCATCAAAGGAATTTTGAATTTTTATTTTTAAATATTTTTATTAATATAAGGTATTAATTTTCAATTATATTATTGCTGTTGTTATAGGGCACATACAGATACAGTATAATAATAATAATAAATAATAAATATGACAACGATAAATCATAGAGGGCGCGTTTCCTTGTCCTCGTGGACTCCTTTGCTGATAGGCATATTTTGGTTCCACCTACAACACCGACAATAATTATTCCCTTTTTAATTAATTTTTTTTTTTTTTTGGTGGTGACACCACAAGTAGTTGAAAAGCATTGTATCATAACCCCCCTAGTCCCTATTACATGAGTTTTTCTAAAAGAAGTTCTTGATCTTTTTTATAACACTCTTTAATATTTTTAATGAATATTAAATATTTTTTTAATAAATATATATATGTGTGCTCATATTTGATGAGAATACGAGTCGTGAGAGAATAAAAATTAATATACTACTAGAATTTAGTGTTATTAATGATTATGATATTGAGAATCATTTGAATTTTATAACAAATTTAATGCTTTTAATTAATTATATTGATACGTGTGAATTAGTGAGCTTTTATAATAAAGAGCTGAAATATAATTCGGAGAGAATTAGTAGAGAGTAGCCTTCCTTTCCTTTCGTTCTTTTAAGTTGGTTTTTTACCTTCATATAAGTGTTCTATCTTGCCTTGTAAAAAAGAAGAAACAAGTGTATTGCAATTGATGAACCTAAGATCACAACTTTCAATCAAATAAAGGAAATAATATTTAAAATATTTAGAATCATCAAATACTAATAGGCCATGAACATTTTAGCGAGGTTGTAACACTAAACAATTTGGTCATTTTCTCAAATACTACTTCCGATCCTTAATATAAGACCTTATTTAATTTTTATTTTGGTCCTACATATAAGACTCCAATCTACTTTGTCTCTCATATTTATATATTTTTTTTCAAGATAGTCCTTCTAACAATAGTAATTCTAGTCAATACACTTGATTAGTAAGGATATTTTAAGAAAGATAACACCTATTTATTACAAATAACTAACTTAACTTCTTTTCTTAATCTCCTCAAATTAGTCAACTAGCTCTTATAATTAGAACCGGAGGTAATATCATTTTTTGAAAGATGAGCATTGAGGACACCTTTATTTTGGTCACTAGGGGAAAAACTTTAATTTAATTATCATTTCCAATTCTTAATAGAAGAGTTAGGTAACTAATTTAAAAATATTAAAAAAATTAGTTAAATTAGTTATTTATAACAAATGTATGTTGGCGTTCTTAAATGACCCTATTTAATCATATGCATTAGAATCATATTTTGGTGGGAATTCATTACATGGATATTTTGGACAAAAATTATAAATTTGAGAGATGAAGTAATTGAAATCTTATATTTAGGATCAAATTTAACTCCAACTAACTCTTATATTTAAATTTTTTTAACCTGTTTTATATTAAAGATTGGATGTGGTATTGTTTACAAACCAGAGATGAATTTTAAAATTAATTGTAAATTTGTAATACAAGTACAGATCTAGGACCCCTTACGATGTGTTTTTTGGCCTAGGAATAATAACCTTATTTATCAGGAAAAAACTTGTCTTAATTATCCCCATGAAATTTGACGATTAATCTTGTCTACTGACTATTAATACTAATATTAATTTGCTGTGTGAAAAATAAAATTAGTAAAAGGAAATCAGTGTCTCAGTCATATATTTACGAAATTAAACTCAACTAGACAAGCAACATTGTGACCCAAAAAAAGCAAAAGAAGCAGTACAAAAAAGTAATTTAGCCATCAGGGCCTAGTTTGCTTCTTTTTTTTTTATTTGTTTGAGAAAAAGGGCCAAGGCATAGTTAGAAAGGATCGAAGTGCTAAAACCCACTTCTTTACAGATCAGGCTCAAATTGATTGGACCTAGAAAAAATTCAAGTTCCACGTATGGCCTGATCTGATTTTTAAAAAAATTAAATTTCAACAGTTCAAACATTTTAAAATAAGAAATAATAAAATTCGGACAATTTAAATATAGTTTAACAAATAATGTACTGTTTTTGCCTAAAAAATAATAAATTTACTTAGACGTGAAAGCGCATTTGTTGGAATGGATTTAATCTTAGAGTTCCCGGCCTGAGAGAAATTAATTTCAAGTTTAGAGTAACATGAGGATTCTCTGAGTTACAAAAAAAAGAACTTAGATAACTTTTTATTATTGTTATTTTTTTTGGGTGATTATTACCTCCAGTCTATAAGAGTGACTTAATTAATTTAAATTGAGTAAAAAAGTTTGTTAAGTTAGTTATTTACAATAAATATAAGTTGATTTTTCTAAAGTATCGTTTTTAATCATGACCACCCTTGGATGCAAACTATCGATATGTGTAATCAATAAGGATACTTTAGAGAAAAAATTATAAACTTAGGAGGACAAAATTGATTAAAGTTTTATATTTAGGGTCAAATTCAATCTCTAATTAGTTTTTATATTAATGATGAGAAATAACCAACAAGGATTAGGTTTAACAGAAGAAGTTAGTCTCTCATAACGTGACGCACTAATGTTTAAATCCTGATTGAGAGAAGTGTCCATATTTAATGACTAATAATATTTCGAATAGAATTATTTACAGTAAAGAAAGATGCTTGTGTTTTTTAAAAAGAAAAGATGACAGGTAGCATTCCAAAAGGAAGAAGATTCTTGGGTTAATACAAACTTTGGTTCTTCAAATTTGCCTTCATTTTGGTTTTAGTCTCTCAAATTTTAAATCATAGGTTTTGGTTCTTGAAGTTTCTTTTCATTTAAAACATTGGTCTTTATAACCCATTAAAAACTTAGACTATTTTACCTCCAAAGGGAGCAAAACCTACAGTTTGAAATTTGAGGGACTAAAATCAAAATGAAAACAAATGTGAGGGACTAAGTATTATATTAACCCCAAGATTCTTTTACTAATTTCCACAGATAATAAAGCTTAGCTAATGGGAATAATATCTTGTTCTATATCCTGGGAAAATCTCTCAGTTGTGTGAATGGAATAAAGGGGACGAAAGGAGATAAAGAATACCTAGTTCAGATAAGGAAGCAAGGAACCATGGGTTAAGGTTTTGGGTAAGGCTAGGATTACTAAAATATTGTGGACAAAAGAAAGACAAAATTACTAAAATACCCAAAATACTCATATTATGCCACGCATTAGTGGGAATTTAGCCATGATTTAGTTATCAAGTCAGGGTATTGATTTTACGCCGTTGACAAATTAATTTAAGGGTATTATGAATTTTTTATTTTATTTTGGGGGATCTATCTTACTCAACCTCTACTTTTTGGTACATAGCTAAACTGCAATTAGATTCCATTTTCATCCTCAAGTAATTGTTAATGCATTAGCGTTACTCCACTTGTTTTAAATATATAAGTCCTTCTAGAAGGAACTTTTTATTCCATTTTAAATGTAATTTTCAAAATTTAATACAATATTTACTGAGATACCTTTCGAGGAAAAATAATGTTCCTAAGTTATTTATTTGAGTAATGTGTCTCAAGTGTTAGAATCGCTGCAACGTTGCCTTGAGACCAATGAACATTGACGTTAGCCATTAACTTCAAATTCATTTCAGATTAAGGACCATTTTCGCCAGAAGAGTGTTTGCTATCCTAAAGTTCAATAATGTGAAACAATTGTCACTCATTTTTTGTGCAAAACACAATGCACTATTGCAACACGTTTAGGATGTCACATGACCTGCCAATTAGGTAGGTGTCCGTCAAAAAGTTTATTAGTTTGTACCAATGATTAATTGATGATACTGTCACACATTGTATCTGTCTATGATGTCATAAACATATATTACCTCCACTTTTTAATATAAGAATTAATTTGATATTTAATTTAGTTTTAAATATAAGATATAACTTCTCTTTATCTCTCGTATTTATTTATTTTTTCTAAAGTAATTCTTATAATAGTTGCACATATAAAATGTTTCATCAAATGGTGGTTGTAGTTAACACATAATTATTAAGCGTATTCTAAGAAAGACAACACTTATTTCTTATAAATAATTAAGTTAACAAACAAACTTAATTTGCTTAAATTAGTCAACTAGCTCTTATATTAATGACCGAATTTAATAGGTATTTGTTTATAGAAAACTTAGTTCTATTACTAGTAAGGATAGACACATATATCTCGTGATAATACAGATTAACAAATTGTTTTTCCCCCTCTTTCCTCCTGTTTTTAACCAAAACAGATGCAGTTTGTGTTTTAATACTGTATGTTGGGAGCCTCTATTGCTGGTCAAAAAAAGACACAGAGCTTTTATTGGACTAGTGAGTGTTTGGTTAAT